AAAACCTGGGCGATGCTGTCAGCAAGATCACGCAACTCAATTCATTGGAGGTATGTGCCCCGAGGTCCCAATGATGACATAGTGATGACGAATAGTGCGAATCAATTCGCGTCAAATTTGTGTGTGACTGCGTGACTTACATGCGTTCTGGGTGGTTGTGTTCGCATACAGTTGCCTACATGTCGCTCAAAGTCGGGTTCGATGTTCGGATGAGGTTGTGGATATTGCCCATTCGAAATTCTTCTGGCCGCCCCCACAAAGCGTCTAAGGCCCTTAAGATCGAGACCCGCAGTAATCCTTCTACGTCTGTTGAACACTAGTTTCGACGGGTTCCGCTAGGGGCACAGGCGCGGCACTGCGGTCGTACCTTGGGGACCCTTCAACCAGACCACACATCGAAGTCTGGGGTTCCTCGGTCTGTTCTAGACTAGATAATCGCGTGTTTTCGGCCGAGCCGCGATTTGACCATCATCTGTTATGAGTGTGATTCCGGAAAAGTGCGATTGTGATTATCTGCCGCGGAACGCCACTGTGATCGCCCGGTTGTTTACAGTGGTTTCGGTAAAGTGCGATTGTGATCCTTGCTGTGGACCGCCACTGCGATCCCCCAGTCTTACAGTGGTTTCGGTTAAGTGTGATGGTGATCCTCTGCCACTTTGCTCGCTCGGACGTTCACGGTGTCGTCGACCGTGCCGTTCACCGAGTCGCAGCGTCGAGAACAGTGTGTTTGTTAACCTACCTAGTGAAGTCACTTTTGGTTGTGGACGGGGTTTGGAGCCTCGGCCTTGGGGTCAAGCTCTGCATGCCGACCGACCAAACGAGCTCATCCATTTTGACTGGCTCAAGATGCCCGCTGCCACGAACGGATGGCGCTACATGCTGGTCGTCAAGGACGACATGAGCGGGTACGTGCGCCTGTACCCAGGAACCGAAGCCACCTCTCATGCCACGGCTTCAGCCCTTCTGGACTGGTTTAGTCTCTTTGGCGTCGTCGCGACATGGGTTAGTGACTGTGGGTCGCACTTCAAAATCCAAGTGATCGACGAGCTACGTCGAACGTTGGGCGTCCACCACCATTTTGTCTCGCCTCACTGTCCCTGGGCCAACGGGACAGTAGAGGTCGTGAATCGCCAGATTCTCCGTATGGAGCCAGCAAATGTACCTACTGTAGGTAGGGTCCGAAGTGTTTGTTCAAGGCGACCAGGCGACCAGGTGAAGTGGAGCGGTTCGTAGTCAGTAGCTG